CCAGATATATTGTTAAAAAGGCAATGTAAAGATAAGGTTAAGGAAGATAAGGATAAGGATAAGGAAGATAAAGATAAGGATAAGGAAGATAATGATAAGGATAAGGAAGATAAAGATAAGAAGATAAATATAAGAAGATCAGAAGGTAAAGATAAGGATAAGGAAGATAAAAATAAGGATAAGGAAGATAAAGATGAGGATAAGGAAGATAAATATAAGGATAAGGATAAGGAAGATAAAGATGAGGAAGATAAAGATAAGGAAAATGAAGATAAAGATGAGGTAGATAAAGATAAGGAAGATAAAGATAAGGATAAGGAAGATAAAGATAAGGATAAGAAAGGTAAAGATAAGGATAAGGAAGATAAGAAGATAATGATAAGGATAAGGAAGATAAAGATAAGGAAGATAAGGATAAGGAAGATAAGGATAAGGAAGATAAGAAGATAAGGAAGATAAATATAAGGAAGAATACTGGATGGATGCATAAATGAATATATAGAACGAATACACCTATCACTTACAGCTAGACGTTCGTGGTGTGAACATGTCCTTTCCGTGCAATATATTTGCCAAAGTATTTTCAGCACGCGGCAACCTCAAGCGTCATACTTTGAATATCCATTGAGATGTTCAAAGCAATCCAGTTGAAATCTCTGCAGGATCTGCAGTTTTGCAGCATCCTTTTACGTGTATCGTAGCCGGGTGTACACAAAGCGGCAAGATTGTATGGGTGAAATCTCTCTTGGAGAACGCACAGAAGACCATAAGTACACGTCCTCAACGTATCATTTGGTGTTATGGTCAATGGCAACCATCTTATTTTGTTACATTGGGAGCTGGAATCGAGTTGAATAAAGGCATTCCCGACGATATCGACAACGGAGATTACTTGGCCGTATCGCAACGGAATTTGGTCGTATTGCATGATCTTATGGCACAAACCGGCAAAGATAAACGTATTTCAGATCTTTTTACGAAAGGAAGTCATCATCGAAATTTGTCCATCATTAATATTGTTCAAAATATATTTTATCAGGGCAAAGAAATGAGAAATATCAGTCTAAACGCCCATTATATTGTGCTGTTCAAGTCACCAAGAGATAAACAGCAAATTTCTATGCTTGCAAGGCAGGTAACGCAACAAGTTTAAAACATGTTTATTGATACAAATAACAGACAACAGCATCAAAAAAATTACAACTAAGACTGTTAAACTGTTCTGTGAGCTTTTTTTCCAAGAATTCTTGATAAGCAATTTTATGATCGGTCTCAAAACTTCTAAATCGTTAAGTTCACCTGCCGCCTTCGCAGAATACATGTAACCCGGTGAGCAAGAGAAAAACGCTTCAGCTGCTGACTCGAGCGGATCTTCTAATCTCCAATAAAATAAATAGTTCAGTATACATTGTAGTTCGCGGTTCTCGGTGTTCTGATGTAGTTCCTCCATCAATGAATCGACAAACGTAGAATCTGGGTCTTTTTCAAGATGCTGTAAATGTTCGAGTACATCTCTCTCAACCCTCACTTTAAGTATCCTCACTGCCTCAGCGAATTCACACCATGCGCTTAGCATTCACTCGTTCGATCGCTTGTAAATCGTACATTTGCCATCGTTCGTTTTCGTTCATCACAAAACAGTCATGTTGCCTTTGACTAAGATGACCGACTTGACAACCATTACAGGATTCCACACAAAGTCTTTGAACGACTGCATTCGCATATATTCCTTCCAATAAATTGTAAGATGCGGTTTTTCTGTGCAGACACTCCATATCGTACGGCTTTCACAGCGAATTGGCAATATAGCTATAGCAAGCGTTGTCTTTTACACTGAAAATTCCGAGCTCTGCTTAATGACTTTTTCGGACATTTGGTCGCGTTACCTGTCACATTTGCCCCAGACTTGCCCAGCAAAATGACGTCATATATTTTGCAAATTAATTACTTCCGGAGCCGTGACGTAATTGGCGGCATCCCTTTGAACTCCAGATGGGGTTTTAGTACTAAGCAGCAAATTTAGAAATTGTTTTTAAACAGAATCAGTCATTTAAGCGGGTGTTGTTATCCGGTTATCGTTCTTGGTCTAAAGCTCTAAAACTCACTAAAGCATGCATGTTGAGCAATCCAATGCACAATATTTAAAATAAAAATTCCTAGAACTCGTTCTTTGCATTTCAGCCTACCCTCCTACGGGACAAAGCGAGATAAGATGTAACGTGTCTAGCCTGCACCTGGTCTCTGCTGGAGCGTGTTTGGGAGGGAAGCGGAAGTAGAGGACTTGGCCGCGAGAATATGTGTGACAAAAAAAAGCGGGAAACGTTTTTACCTGTAATAAATCTAGATATAGATTTGCACAAATGTTCGTTGCTACAAACTTCCTGCCAGAACAGTTGGGACAATAAAACTCCTTCTGAAAATTCATCTTGTAATCCTACGGGAAAAAGCAAAATTTTACGAAATGGCAACAAATTGCGTAAACCACTTGTGACGTACTCCGCATATCCTTAATAATTCAAGATGACGAACAGCTCATTGTTTTCAGTGGAAATGTTCCAAGAATGATGCATGATATGAAACGACATTTTGTATATCATTTTGAACGTTCGAAAAAAAAAAATTGTTGCCTTTGGTCATGCAGAAAATGTTCTGACATCATTAAACATGATTCATGTCAGCTGCACTGCATTAGCTAACGTAAGACAATTTTACTCGTAAATAAGAAAATTCCAGTAAAACGGAGGATAAACTATTTATTTGATATATAGAGTTGTTTATAATGAGAAAGTTTTATTTTTATATATTTTTTTTAATGAAGTGAATTGGTGCCGTGCTTTAAACTGGTCAAATACACATGCTGAACGGAATTGGACATTGCCAGGTTGATAATTATAATCAATATTTATATTTCATTCTGAATCGTTGTTGTCGTTGTCGTTGTCGCTGTAGTTGTTGTTTTTGTTGTTGTTCTTAGGATTTTAAATGCGTTTTACTCCAGCCCTCTTTCCATTCAGGTCGCACTACGAAATATTTCTGTAATGAAGGGTATCTTAATGCGGATTGCAATAATTACAACGTGAGTAGTGGAGTTGGAAGGAAATGCAATTTTGACGGAGAATGGGAACATGGTGCTATGTTAAACTGCAAGAGAATATGCCCAAAGCTTGGTAATTAGCTAAACGTGTTTACTGATTTTGAGTTTTTACTGCTTTTGAACTACTTTATTAGAGGGTATTAACCAGCGCTACACATTACTGACAGTCTTTGTTTTGTCTGGCATCTTATACGTAGCCTTACCCTACAGGTTACAACCATAAAACAGCTATTCTGAAATTGTTAAGAATATTTCCTTTATTTTTTAATATATTTCTTTATTTCAAAGATTGTTTGCGTATTCCTAACTGCGAAAATCTGATTACAGTGGTACTAGAAAATACATGCATGCAGAAACCCTTCGCCTTGCTGACAAAACCATTGTATTTTCCAAATGTGAAGTATTTAAAGTAGTTGTTATGGTAACACGATAATTTTTTAAGAATATCTTTGCAAACGAAAATCCCCCAAAGTATCACTTTTAATTACAAAATTATCAATTTCCCAAACATATATATGTTAGGTATGTTATTAGTATATAGGTAATAGCATGGTTTCGAGTGCAGTTTGGATATAACATGCACGAGTGAGTTTTTTAAAGACCTCAAAATAGCACGAGTCGGAAGGACGAGTGCTATTTGAGGTCTTTGAAAAACTCACGAGTGCATGTTGATCCAAATTTCACGAGAAACCATGCTATTACTTATTAATAATTTACATAATAATTTTCGAGACAATTGTAGTTTTAACTTACGCATTTATCGCGAACATTCCACTGGCAAAGTTTTCCTGCCTTTGTTATATCACATTATACAACGCTAACAGCTTGAAAATTCCACTCAACTATGTAATTTTTGTTAGTCTTGTTTAAGGTAAATGCTTTTTCATTTAAAAATAAAGATAAAAGCCATATTTTCCACACCAAGGCAGCTTTTAGCGCGGCGCCATGTTTGTTTTGTTTTGAAGCAATCTGTGACCGTTACTTCTTTAAATTAAACTAAATTGCTTTAAACTGATTGGTTGATTTAATCATCACAATGTTTTTCCACCAATCAGATCAGTTTGCTACTGATTTTTGCAGTGTGATTACAGAAAATCGCACTGTGATTACAGGAAATTGCACTTCTGTTCGGGATTAACTGCACTGAAATCAACCAATCACAGTCGAGTGATATCTTTATGTATACTATTATACGTTATATAAGCTTCAATTTAAGGTAAAATTCGACCACAAACGCTTTGAAAAACGTTTTAAAGTGTTCTTTTAATATAAAACTAAACTGCGTTTATCGATAAACTTTGAGTTCGAAATAAAATTATTCCAAATTCTCGCATGCAAGTAACTTTGCTTATTATAATAAAAAGAGTAACCAATAAAGAAACACTGAAATAATATGATGCCTCGTTTCATATTTGTACGCAACTATCAGCTTTTAAAGTAATTACAGATAATACAGCGCATAGAAAGCAAACAATGCATCAATATTTAAAACAAACTTACCTTCGTTAACGTCAGCGCCTTTAATCCCTTCATTTAGCAATTCTTTCGCCTTTATTTTATCAAAAAGCTTTTGAAATTTACAAAATCTTGCAAAAATGAAATATAGTTGCAAGAAATCTGAAATCATCAAAAATCAAGAAATGTTTGCTATTTTGCAGTCGTCATGCAGTCGTTATAATGCAAATTTTAAATTGGACCAATCAGTGTTGGCTATTCATGACAGTCCGCTATATTATTAGATCAGTGAGGATGACCACCTATGCACAGTGACCCACACCCGCAATCATTGATGAACTCGTTTCACCGGGTGTAAATAGCAGTGCGGAATTAGTACCCTCGCACGGCGCTCCGCCCGTTGGCTCGGGGACAATAACAGCGGCAAGCTAACTGCCGGCTATAGTCTTATTTTAAGTCACCGCAAGAGCTAAAACACATATACCGTATACATGTTTCGCTGAAAAGGCCGGCCAGGACCACATGAGCCGCGTGTTAATTAAAGCTCCTGAACATTTGTGGTAAATCGTTAAGGTCGTAAACCCACCTTACAGATCTTTTCTGAATGCCCATCATAATCTATTAGAAGCTGCCCAAATAATGGGGTCTACTGTACAACGAGACTCGATTTTATGTTGAAAGTTTCAGATATTGTTCGGAATATAGCTTCCTTGCTATTAAATATACGATAGTACCACGGCAATGGGGAATGTTCAGTTTCCTGAATCAAACCTGCCAAGAATAGGCAAGCACAAGATTTGATTGGGTATAATCCGTTTGAATAATTGGACAGCTACCTCATACCAAATAAATTATTGTCTTGTTTAATAACATGAACTGATTATAATACAATGTCGTTGGAGGAGTTTCTGGTAACTTGCGGTACCACTGTTCCTTAATAAAGTCATAAGAATTGCGGTTATAGGATAAGACTTAGGATTAATTAATAAGTGTTATGCTTAAGATAATGATTAAAGTTAGGGTTAAGCTGGGGATATGGTTTTCAAATATATAGCGTTTACCCCAACTAATGTGATTTTTAATTACTGTAGATGAGATATTTGAACCACATCGCGCGTTAGATTGGAACTATTCTGCCAGTTTCTACTTTACTAAAACTCCGTTCGATGGAATGTCTGTTCAATTTGTGTGCAATGATACTTCGTGGGAATTGATTGGTCCTGAAACAATAGCGTGCAATTCATCTGGTAACTACTCTGTCGAACCTCCAACTTGTAAGAAACGACCAGTCGTAGAGAACACAAGTAAGTTTATATCTAAATGTCAGTTTTATTCATCAGCATAAACGTCGCCTACACCGTCCTGGATT